GTGAGGAACCATCGTTAGCCACTTTTTTTTTTTTTTTTCTTATCTTTTCTTTTCTTTACTTTTCTGGAAAAAAAATTACTGAAATTTTAGTTGCGTCCCCTAAAAGGAAACACGGAGAAAAAATTTGTGCATGGAACCCGAAGCTGAGATCATATGGATCTCTGAAGTTTTCGGATCACGCATCCGAAAAGTTAAGGTCCATCTGCCGAAGTTCGGGTAAGACAATTGAAGTAGTTCGGTATATACCGAAGGTTTCAGGTCACACATCTGAAGTACTCGGTGCATACCGAAGTGCTTCAGATTTCTGACTCAGAGATTTAGGAAAAACACAGTAAAGAACCAAGGAAATCACAGTAGAACAGAGAAAAAAATACAGTCGAATAAATAAAGAAAACTATTATCGAAGAAATTCTAATTATTAGAAAGTAATTAGCTGGCGTAATCAATGCGTAGCTGCATAGGAGGATGAGCGAGATTTATCATCAACTGACCGCTGGCCGCTAGGTACCTGGGTGGGCGAGCGACAATACGTAAGCGCGGTGGCATATGGTTCGATTGACAGAGGAGTGGGGAACGATCAGACGTAGGGGAAAGGTTCAGGCTGAACCGTTCAGCACAGCGCAGCGTCAGTCACCGGGTGGGGAAGAGAGTCCGGGAGGGGACACTTCCCCTCGAGTGAAATAGAAAAAGGCAGAATCCTTCGAAGTTTATATTAATGATATTAATGATGATATTTTACCATTTAGCATCACAAAAGCTTACTTTGAAGGTGTATTCATTTTTCTCTATTTAATTTTTTTCAGAAACTTATAAAACAAGCAAAATTTTTCAGATTTTTTTCGTTTCCAGTATTCAGTAGCCCTATGATTTTTTTTTCTCATGCTGAGAACAACATGGCAACATGTGTATGATAAAATAGTTGCATACCTTGCGCCGTGTTTTTTTAAAACTTAGATATGCTTTATGGTTAAGGTCTGTAAGGTTAGTGCACTGATATTAACTAAAAACATGAAAAAAAACATAGCTAACTAATTGATTTTCAGCTGGGGTCAAATTGACCCCGCTCAGGCTTTCTCGTTGGTTCAGAGGCTCAGGCAGACTAGGGTTAATGAGACATATTCTTCAATCAAAGTGAGATTCTTTTTTATTCAATGAAAAATTGTGTCATCAATGCCACAGTTACTTTAATTTTCATTTAAAAAAACTCATTAGAGTTTTAAGTAAAAAATAATAACCAAATAATGTCCCCCCCCCCAAAACATTATTTGGTTATTATTTTTTACTTAAAACTCTAATGAGTTTTTTTAAATGAAAATTAAAGTAACTGTGGCATTGATGACACAATTTTTCATTGAATAAAAAAGAATCTCACTTTGATTGAAGAATATGTCTCATTAACCCTAGTCTGCCTGAGCCTCTGAACCAACGAGAAAGCCTGAGCGGGGTCAATTTGACCCCAGCTGAAAATCAATTAGTTAGCTATGTTTTTTTTCATGTTTTTAGTTAATATCAGTGCACTAACCTTACAGACCTTAACCATAAAGCATATCTAAGTTTTAAAAAAACACGGCGCAAGGTATGCAACTATTTTATCATACACATGTTGCCATGTTGTTCTCAGCATGAGAAAAAAAAATCATAGGGCTACTGAATACTGGAAACGAAAAAAATCTGAAAAATTTTGCTNGGGGGGGGGGGGATAGAATGATCCAAACACGTAACTCAACTGGTAGAGCTGGCGGTATATTACCATGCCAATAATATAAAAGTATTTCACTCAGAAAAAACGCCTGCAAAAGAAAGATTAATTTAACTTTAAAAAAAGTGGTATTAAACCATCAGATTTTACCTTCCTGGAGACGGTTGGAGTGTCCAGAAGACACAGGTTCTGAGCCGTTTACGAAACTCTCTTGACTGTCGTCGTTACGGTCCTCATTTCCGACCCAGTGCTGTCCCGTCCGACTTGTTTCGGGATACGATGTGTTCATAGCCAATCGGATCCCTGCCAGGGATTCTTTGGCGTCATCTGATAAGTTCAGGAGACGCCGAATGGAAAATTGGTGCGACGATTTGGAGTCTTCATGGTTCCTCGTCTGCGTCGACGAATCGTCGCCTTCGTTAATTGCGGAATCTATCGTTTCCGTTTTCTCCGAAACGTCTGTCATCGCCAGTTTAAAATTTACTAATTGATTCGTCGTTGTCATGTATGAAACTAAGAAATTGTTTAAGGATCTTCAGTCGAGTTACTGCGAAGTGGTGTGTCACTATGGATTGCCTAAGCCTGACCTCCGCATTTGAAGAGTTTCTGGGGGGGGAAAAGAAATACATTATGAATAAATTAATTTTTACGGTTTTCAGATTGTTGAAACAACGATGAGACATGCTAGAGTACTGGAAAGACATGTGAATGGAGAGGCCATTACCTTTTACACAGTATTATTTTAGTGAAGAGATTAAAGCGATGGGAGACCTTTGTACTCCCATTTAGATTTAGTTCGTACGTAGTTTTCTGTAATGAGTGAACTCCATAAGTCCACAATAACGTTTTACGAATGGAAACGCATTTCGATGGAGAATCGACAAAACCTTGTATCTCGATTTTTGTTGGTTTTGAGTTAGCTATATAAACGAGTTGTAGGAGATGTCCTTCATCTGCCATCAAAATATTTTTGTCGAAAAAAATCGGGAAGTTACCCAAAACCGTAATTGAAATATAACATACCTCGGCGCTAATTTGTAATACACATATCTCGCGCCGCACTCTGTGGGATTCGACCAGAATAGCTGGCCAAAACTATTTATGACCAGATATCGCCGAGTCTTAAGAATATTTTACAACCAGTGCTTCTTTTTAAGTGATACTGTGCAAAATTTAACCACCAAACACATTATATGACAATATGAGGAGAGTTTAATTAGAATGAAGTTCCCCCAAAAAGGTTTTTTAAGGACGCAAAGTATCTGAGTAAAGTGGTGCATTTAGATGAGTTTCTCCTCAAGCTACAGTCCACTCTATGTAACAAGGACACCCTGTGACCCTCATTTATGGTCAAAACAGCGTATGTCACTTCACAATTTAGGGCGAAACAATCCATCTCTCACATTAAGGACTTCCCTAAAAAAAAAAAAAAAAAGAAAGAATTATATGAATCATTCTAGATATTTGATTTATGACAGTTTTGATCTAAAATTAGTGTTAGTATGAAGGTGCTGGGACTTTCATGCACAAAAACATATTTAAACAGCAAAACAGCATTCTCCTATACTGATCGTTCAGGTTTCAATTCTCGGTCGAGGCTAAGCTTTTTTATTCTCGATTTTTTTTTTTTTCTTATGCTATAGCGTGGATGAAAAGGGATCTTTGCTCCTGCTAAAATGGGAATAGGAAATAAATAAGAACCAAGAAAATATTTATGCTCATGAATTTGACACTTTATTGCTCCTCTAATCACTAAAAAAATTCGAGGGTAGTTACATACTTTAACTGCAGAGACTTGAATTTGATAATAATGGAAGATTTAATTTTAATAATGTCTCTTTACAATCTGCTAGCTGAGGAAAATCGAAAAATTTCTTTTACGAGGCTTCAAATGAGCCCCTCAGCGTAATTTCATGGTGCCAGAGAGCAACTTTTGAGGCCCCAACCCACGGCCGCATGGACTCAAATTTGTCTGTCAAATAAAACGTGACACAAATATGTCTATACTCAGGGGTAATGCATGGAGAGATTGCTAAATAACGGATTAAACACTTTTGCAAGACTTTAAAATGACCCTTCCATCCGCTTTCAATTTTTTTACCCCTCTTTCGGGGGCGTAGGGGCCAGAGAAACAGGTTGCGTGACCAAATATCACCAATTTTGGTACTAAATGGGTCAGAGCTGTGGGAAAAATACCATTTCAGTCGTTAGTATCGACATAATTTTTCTCATTCATGTTTTGTGAAAATCGCTCAAAAGTTTATCTTTAAGGTCAAAAATTTCAATTTCCTCCGTTTTTCTCCGTCTGTCACCCCTGAATCCTGAATATATACTCACTTTGGGCTATAACAGTCCGCCTTCAATCGCTTGAGGGCAGTTCAGGCCAAAAAGAAATGGGCTTCTGAATTTCGAAAAAAACGTTTACTTTTACATCACTTTTTAACCTCCTGTGAAAATCACTAAAAAATGAAATTTAGGTAATACTGTGGTTAGTTGTGTAGAATATACCCCTACAAATATGTTCCATATCACCGAACTTCCCTCCCATGGGCACAGTCGAATTAAACTGACTGACGAATAGCGCATACATACCAAAATAATCGTTGAGTAATAGGTAACTAGGTGGTCTCTTCGCGGAAGATGGAGCCACTTGAAAAATGGCACATAGGTACATGTTTTCACGGGTAAAAAACAGTGCAGATTTCGAATATAACATTGGTTCTCCAAAAAAAAAAAAAAAAAAAAAAAAAAAAAAAAATTAAAATTGAGGTTTTAGCCAGGTTTTTCCGTCAAATACCACAGTGTGCGCCGTCGCGAAGTTATTGCACAAAGGAAAAATCTAGGAGCCTCTAGCTGAGGTAAATCAAAATGGTTAGAGGTGTCGTCAGCTAAGTTGATGGTTGTTAACTTTCAGTTTGCAGGCGTTTTCGCGTCACAACTATCCACACACTCAAAAAAAAAACTCCGGCGACTGGACCCGGTTGTTCTCGATGTTGGTGACTCCGATGTTATCGGGTCGTGAAAACGTAATTTCTGGGCACAGCAGCCGGAGTCCGCCAGGGGTGCTACGGGCTCCGAGGTCGGTCGATCGGTTACTGCCCAGCCGGAAGCTCCGGCTTCCACGGTCGGAATTTTCGACCCGCCCGGCCGGAGTCCGATAGTCCGTTACTCAGTGTTCGGGAAAATGGCGTCGCCATCGGATTAAAATTGAGACGGCCCGGTGCAAATTCGCAGAAAATTATAATGTTTTACTTCAATTTTATTCAGTGCGTGAATTTAAAGTTGCCGCCAGCCTTCGACATATTCGGGAGCGATCGAAGCCACCACTCAGCGTTGTTTATTGAGGTTAGTCTCTAAATAGCTTTGTCATTGCTGGTCACCGCTCATTACGTGTGTTCGTTTTTCGTTTAATTTTGGAGGTTTTCAATCTATTTTCTTGATTCTGTGTGGTGCACGATTGATTCTAAAGTTCTGTGTGATAACGCTTGTCAAATACTTCCAGAAATGCGACGGGAATGAAGTTAAAATTGTCAGTTTTGGTACCAGTACACTGAGCTCATACCCTCTCCTGTAAGTTCGTTTGCAATTCACTTATTTTCCCCCTACTAAGGGAAAGAACTTAAATCAAAGAAAAGGAATCAATTACCTGCCACGCATCTTCCCACAGAGTAAATTATCGCCACACTAAAATACTGATAATGTAGGCACGAGAATGTCCATTTATTCCGAACTATATTCTGTCACTTAATTGCTTTGTTCTGCCTGTGTAAGAGGATACAGTTTTTATTCCATTTCGATCTAATCTCTAACTCATAAATGTTTTCAACTGTGAGTAGTATTGCAGTCTCTGACATCTCCCCTCTCTGTTACAAAAACAGCTGTTTGATAGCGGAAACTGTACCCGTAAAATGTAGAACCTATCCTGCGCAAATTATCTAATAGTGAGAGCAAGCTCGAACGTTGTTACCGTGAATAATCTCTCTGATTCCATATCCCAATTCTAGGGAGCTCAGTGTTACTGTAATAGTGGTAAAATCCTGTGTGAATCGCGCTTCAGTTTGCTGAAGGGAAGATCTATAATTTTAACAAGTGTGACAATTTTCGGTGGTATATTTCTTCGCTAATATTTTGTGGAAATTGTATCCGGTAGTTATTGCGGAGAGTTATATCTTGAAGTTTTGTCAACTTTTACTACTGAATTTACACCTTGAAATAGTCTCAACCTCATTTTCAAGATTCTGAAGCTCTTCTAGTCGTAAGAAGTAAAAATCTGTAAGTAAGTACCTAGACCTACGCCAGTGGTTTTCCTTTGTTAATCATTTAGGTGATTTCCTACTTTGCATTCGTATTTTTTATCGAGGGATTTCTTGTTTTTGACAAATTCTGAATTCTCATTGAGTGAAAGTAATTACATTTATTGAGAACGGGCTGCCAAGTGATAAAAATGATTTTTCAGTTTGCATTTTCGCTGCAATGAGTTTTAGAAATTTATCACCTTCGGCAGTCTATTCTACAACTAAAATAGGTAGCAAGAATTTTTGATCCATCTAAATTTGTTCCTTCATGTCTCAGTGGTTGGACTATTTCCATAACGTTGTACCCAGTTAATTGAATATTGATGGCTGAGAGGAATAATTTTCCAATTTTTTGTTTGTTTTATCCATGAAACATTGACAAGTATTTCACAGACTTAGTAAGCAATAGGCAACTGTTTCAAATCTATGAACTTTACTCATCTTTGCCCTAAAAATAAATTCCAAGGTATATTTTGCAAAGTTAAGAATCAGCCGAATACTTCCAAGCCAAGTTCATTCTGGTATCTAAAAATCAGAGTGCTTTATTTTTTTCTAGGAAGGCTTGCAACATTAAAGTTAGGTTTTTGAAAATCTCTCTCGATTTTTTTACAAGATGAATAAGCTAACATTCATGTGCTGCTTTGCTTACTCAATAAGAGAATTACTTATCTCTTTTCTCAAACTTGCTGAACTATCAGCCAAGAAGTTCAAATCTCTCTTGATATCTCAAACATGATCAACAAGCTAACGTTCATATGCTCCTTTTCTTTCTTTCTTTTTTTTTAAAATAGGTATATACTTCTTTGTTAATAGTTCATAACAATTTAATTTCAGGAATGTGATGGATACATCACTGACTGAGAAAGATTCAGATCAGATTCAGATTTCATTTATTTTCTTTATTAATAAATGAAATCTGAATCTGATCTGAATCTTTCTCAGTCAGTGATGCATCCATTACATTCCTGAAATTAAATTGTCATGAAATATTAACAAAGAAGTATGTACCTAGATAAAAAAATTAGCGTCTGCCTGGAGCATTCCGTGTTTTGATAGCCCGGAATTCGCGGCTATGGAAGCCATCGGTGAATGACCTTCACAGCCGCGAATTCCGGGCTGCGCGTCCGGAGTGGTCCGGGCGTTCGGCGTCCGGAGTGGTCCGGGCGTTCGGCGCCCGGAGTGCTCCGGCCCCCGGACGCGGAACGGACGGTAGTCGTATATAGCCCGTACAGTCCGTGCTCCGGGTCCATTACTTTCGGCTCGCACGGCCGGAGGTTTTTTTGAGTGCATGAAAACATCTGGCTCTCTCAG